TTTTAGGGTCCTTAACAATCACTGAGGCCCAATCCCAAACCACTATGTTAAAAACATATGAGGTTATCATGAGGTTGTTAACATCACAATTTATCAGTGGATGTTTGCTGGAACTGTTTGTAAACAGCGTGTTTCCTGACGGACACACACAGCGTTGAGTCCGGTCAGGTAGGGCAGCATGTGAAGTCAGCACCGATGCAGACACAGGGGGTGTTTCTCAATGTCAAAGAAGGATGCTCCAGAGCCACTATTTCAAGGATGCTATGTCATCGAGTCCCGCCGAAGGACTGTTCCAATGTCCAGGCTCCTTGGAATTCTACCGAGCCCGGCGTCCTTCGTAGCGAGAAATTTCGAGGCTGTACATGTGTATCCTCCGCCGTCTTAAAATCCCCACAATGCTTTGCGCACGGACCAATTTCCAAATCTTTGGCGGAAATCGCGCTCCATTTAACGCGGGCCTCGCATATGACGCACACCTGCACACCTGTTAGCCTGTTAGCCTGTTCCACCACTCTTCATTTTCCGAGGCTAGGAAGGATTCTTGCCTCGCTTCTGAAGGAAGTGACTTGCAAGACATGTCCTACCAAGGAAGCGTCCTCCTAGCCTCGGAAAACGAAGAATGGAACAGGCTAGCAAGTGTGCAGGTGTGCGTCATATGAGAGGCCCCGCCTTACATTTTCCGCCAAAAATTTGGGAAATCGGTCCGTGCGCAAAGCATTGAGGGGATTTTAAGACCGCGGAGTCTACAGATGTAGCGCTTCATTTCAGACGCCTACCCGTGCGGGTCCGTGACCGGCACGGGGTGGGCCCCTGCTGAAAAGGAAACCCCCCCGCAGGACTTGATACGCCCCCTTGATAAATACATTTAATTATAATGAAACCAACTGCAATGGATCATGGCTCCACCAGGGGGTGCCTTGATTAAAAAGCTGCCACACTGGAACTCATGTGAAATAAACAGCTGATAGATCTACAGTCCGTGCGCAAAGCATTGTGGGGATTTTAAGACGGCGGAGGATACACATGTGCAGCCTCGAAATTTCTCCAAACGAAGTACGCCCGGCTCGGTAGAATTCCAAGTATCCTGGACATTGGAACAGTCCTTCGGCGGCACTCGATGTCGTAGTATCCTTGAAATAGTGGCTCTGGAGCAGCTTTCCTCGACATTGAGAAACACCCTCGCTGTTTGAGGGCTTGATAACCCACTCCCCCTCCACACTCGTTGGTTTGGAACAGCACTTAATGTGGCGGACACTCCGTGCGAACTGAGGGGTAGTGTGTGGTTTGGGATTGGGACTTAGTGTCAAATGTCACCTGACCTGATAAAGCAGTTACAGCCAATCTCACATACGTTTTCTTGTCAAAGCAATACAATCATTTTTTGCACAGATTTTACTCAGGAGTGGGTCTTCTACTAATCACAGGGTCAGCAGTTAAATCTCCTTCTAAGATCATGAACAAATCTTCATGAGTAGGACACTAAACTACAAATTACTCACGATGGTCAGACCAGGGTTTGTTCAGTAGCTCACTGCCATCCTTGTTTGAGTGTGTGAATGAAAGGCAATTTGTAAAGCACTTTGGATAGAACGTGTGATATAAATTAGGTCACTTACTCTACTCTTTAGTATGCTCTCTTGCGGACAACATTTAAAATATGTTAACCTCCGCAGCTACAAAACACTCTAAAAATACAATTGTTCTTCATTGTCGTTCAACATGTGAACATCCACAAAGGCACGTTTTAGAGTTGATGTTTTATATCATGTGCAAAGTGGATGCTTTTACTGGCACATTATGAAGTTTCATTCATTTGTCTTTTACAGAATAAATGTGAAATTCTATGTGCAAACAGATATAAAGAAAGGACCGGCAAACCTGAGGGAGCCGGATGTAAAGCACATTGTGCCCTTGTGAAACAATTATATTAAAAGCAGCAATAAATAATAACTTGTGTGTTGTGAGATTTAAACTTCTACAAAAATAAGGATGTCACAAAGCTGAACATTATTTTGTTCAGTCTTAACTACGATGAGCTCTGCTCAAGTTAAATGTGGGTGAATTTATGTGATAACATTTAGGCTTTGAATTATTTTGAGGTTCTTGTACTTACATAAATATCAGAGTATGTTTTCCAATATTTCGTGGTGAAATTTAAATATATAATAACCAATAGATTATGATACATTATTAAAAACTACAGTAAAAGGAGAAACTGTGCAGTTTTAGAATTGTATAAAAATAGCAAAATACCATTTATTATTATACATCTTATCATTGATTGCTTCATATTTCACAACTTCATGACATGAAAGCAGTTGCTTTCAACAGGTGGTGTCTTATCACACAAAGATAATTGTCACAAGTAGAGGTTCACATTATAGTGTTTAGAATAAAGAAAAGAGCTGAACCTCTGTGACTGAACAGTGCCACCTACTGAAACACAAACAGTACTGCACACACTGTGTACTTTATACCTAACTTTGGGACTGGTATTGGATTAACACCACAGCAAGACAACTAGCATATTATACATACATCATGACAAACCTAAACATGTGGAGGGTTTGTCTGATTTAAACTTCATAAAGGGCGAGTAAGACATTTCTGACTGAAATCAGGAATGAGGTTGCTTTTTTGTTACATATAACAAATACATTATAACTCTTGTAATTCTAATCTTCTTTACATAGTCTATCACATAAATATAACTAAATATAAACAATGGTTTGGAAAGGGTATAAATAATTCAAAGATTGTTCAGCAATTATTATTAAACTATTAAACTGTAACCTTTACATATTACAGTGTTCATTTGTATGTTGATTTAGGATTTATATTCTTAATAAAGCTTTATTTATAATTATGAATACCTGCATCATTGACACAACACTATATCACTGAAATGTACTAATCATTTTAGGATGATTAATGCCATATGGGCAGTTATTAATGTGTGGACTGATGTGTGTATCAAACTCATCACAAATAATATGTTATTAAATTGAAATATAACTGATTTTATATCGATTTGTATCACAGATTATATTCTTCATAACTATGTTTCATTTGTTGTTTTGCCATCTTGTCACTGTTAGGGATAGTCTTATACTGCGACCTACAGTATACTGTACTAGACTACCCCCATGACAACAGATATAAACACACAAACAATGCAATGTATCCCCTTAAAAATGTTTTTCTTTCACTGGATTTGTTAAAAAAATGACATGAAGTCCATCCTCTGATGGTGTATGAAGTAATCTCATCAAGCCTAGCAATCAGTTAGAGGGTTTAATTGTGGTATTATATTTATATACATTATTTTACACGTGGGCATATATATTTTGTTTATTTAAATATACGTATATATATATATTCTTATTTTTGATGTCATGTATTTCCATACTATGTTGTAGGTATACCTCTAATTACTGAGGCATGTATAGGCACTATGTTTGAAAATGCAAAGTTGCTCAGAGACGTTTGCTTCTGTGGTTTCAACATAAAGATAAAATGTGTGCCCCTAATATCTCTGTTCCTGTACCTCAGCATTAAGATGTGTTTAAAAAATGGAATTCTACATCTTACACATTTTATACACACACCTTTAAAGCAGGTTAATGAGTTAATTGTTGGTTGTTGTTGTTGTTGTTGTTGTTGTTGTTGTTGTTGTTGTTGTTGTTGTTGAGTATAGTCTTTGTATGTTCTGGTTTATGAACTACCAATTGTAAATATATTTTTACATTGCTGAAAACTTGCCATTGGTTCTGAAGTATTTCAGATAATATAATTGCTTCCCTAGTTTGGTTGTATAATTATCGTGTACCATTGTTGCACATCATTCTCTCTCCCTCCATTCTCTCCCTAGCTGTTTACTGTAACAGAAGAATTAAATACTACAGTACAGAAACACATTTTACAAAAACAAGTTGTTCTTTAGCAGCTGGCTCTCAAGTCTCACATGTCCTGACTTCAATGTACTACCCTAAAACAATAATGCATATTTGTGTATACTCTAAAGACAAATGTGTGTGATTTATTTGTATATTGCACCTATTAAAGTCCCCATCTAATTCCTGTTAATCTTAAAACCTGTAATAGTTGAAATAATTGTTCTGAGTCTTGTGTTTTTAACTTCCAAAGCAACATTTCATGAGTATGGTACGTTTATCTTAAACACTTGAATTGAATTTACAGAATTACTACAGTTATAAAAAATGACAAATACCATGGGAGAAGTGTTTGCCGTTATGTCCCACCCCTAGCTCACACTTTACATGTAAAATATAACATGCTGGCCAAATCTGGATATTGACAATTGTCAATAAAGATTTGTTTAAAAGCTTTGATGTAGGAGTTTATTTTCAAGAGGATGTAACATACCAGTAGGCTTAAAATGGAGGAATCTAATGCCTAAAATATATGTGCTATCCTGTGTGCTGAGACGTCCTAAACGAAAGAGAAGCTTGCATATGGACATTGCAGGAGACGACGCAGCTGTGGACAGTTTAGCTAAACAAGATTTTTACATTTCGTAAAAAAGAAATGTTATGGCAATCAATGGCAGGATCAACCTGGAAATCATCCAAAAAAATGGATGCCATATTTTTAAGTGCTGAAGCTAAAGTAACGTAGTATGTAAGGTGAATTTCAGACTCATGTCTTTAGAATTGTACCAATCGTCTAGTTTGTTCTTTTAACTTATTACACTGTCTTTTTCGTACCTTACAAAAAAAGCATTTAATAAGCCGAGATGACTTTTTTCACTTAAGGGATAATGACAGGGTAACAGTCGTCTTATGCTGCAAACCTTTGAACGCTTGTACATCAGATAATACCAAGTTAAATAGAAAAGTACTTAAAATGCCACATTTCAAACTAGTTAAGAATGTCATTTTTCAGATTCTAGTGTTAACTGACTATTTAAAGTCAGATATTTGAATGATAATGTGTGTATCTGTGTGAGCTTATCTGTGTGTTTCTGCGTGGACCCTCACCGAGCTGGTGGGCATTTCTGAGGCAGGACAGGGAGGCGTTGAGTCGGGCGCACTCCTCTTCGTTGGCACCAAACTTCTGCAGCAGCTCACACACATGCTCCTCACTCAACTCCAGCAGGCCCTCCAGGGTCACCTCGCCCGGGCTCATCTCCTGCAAAACACACAAACACACACAGTGTAAGTACATGACACACGCATTGTTACGATCAAATCTTAATTAAGGGAATGCATGGTTTGCACTTTGGCAGCCGCAATTGACAATGAAGAGAATATGTGGGGGAAATGTTGAACCCCTTTTTTAGTGATTGTGTTTTATCTTCAGTAAAGAGAACAAAGATGTCACTGCGACAATGCTGGGTTGTCTGTGTCACTTTGAAAAGCATGAATGTGGCTCTCTAATCTTTCACAAATGAGACAAAAATGTACAAGTTTAAGTTTAAAAAGCTGCAACTACTGTAGCTGACTAATGTGCTGAGAGACCTGCCAATCAAATCAAATGCCTAGTAATCAAATCATATTCTAGCTTCAACAGCCTTTTTTCTGAACAAACATTTCTCCCATTTTAAAGCGATTTACAAGATGTGATGTTTACTATTGAGAGCATACATATTGGTAATAAATGTTTTTATTACAAGAGACAAAAGCTTCCTTGCAGCCAGCATCTAGCGGCAATATATTATAACATGCAAAGAAAAAAGTCCACAGTTTAGTTTATATCAATTAACAAAACACAAGAGCAAACGCTAAACTAAAACCAAATCACACACAAAGCACATTCAAGTAAGCAAGTCAGTGAAAGTTGAAGAGAGCAGGTGACACATTTCATGTTGAAAATGATCAATTCTGTTATATAGCCTTCACAGTCATCTGCATGATATTTTGGTTAGACAGCACTCTAACCTGTAGATCATCAAAACCGTATTTTTTATTTGAGAAATAACACATTAAATACTCGCTATCGGAGGTAAGATTTCCTTTTATAAAAAAAGACGTGTGTCTGGAAGTATTACCTGTGTGACCTCCTTCCTCAGGTTGACGATCCGGAACCAGTGTCCGAGGCGGGGGAAGTCCTCCAGCTCCACACTGCGCTCCTCTAAGGCCACTTTGCACTTACAGGACAGCTGGCGGCTGAAGTACTTCACCAACTTCCCCTGAGGACAAGAGGGATCGATACAGTGAGGCAGGGCTGGACATGTTCTACTTATTTTCAACAATCAATATAAACCAAATATATAATATGATACTGTAGCTATTCATTTGTTTAAAGCAGAACTGTCCTGCACAACAGACTGAAAAAACATAAGCATTGACTTTAATTAACTCTATTATGTCAACAGATTCACATAACTGTATTAGGTTAGTTGTAAGCAATAATATTTAGTTGAACCTAGTATTTTTTATTTATACTTATTATTGTTGCTTATTATTAATACATTTAATTAAAGTCAACGTTTCTGTTTTTTCAATGCATGCAACTCATTAATTGTTGTACTGTAGAAGAAGAAAATACATGTGAATTTAAGAATAAAGAATGTTTAATATGATTTAGAAAATACACTGACTGAACTTGCTTTTTAGCACTTCACCATAACGTATGTTAGTGTTTAATGAGAACAACATAGTCTTTGTTGATTAGGCCTGTTCTTGTCACTAGCAGGATTAACAATAAATAAAAACCCAATAGTGGCATATGCGTTAACCGTTGCCTAGTAGGCCGGTTCGAACCCCGATTCAGCCGAACATTCAGGCAATGTCCTCCCTTGTCTCCCCCTTAATCTCTATAATAAAAGGCCCTCTCTGGTCCAAAAGGGTACTTTAATAAATTAAAAAAACACAGTAGTGGAAAAAGTGGAAAAAGTGGCAGAACCACAGCAATCCTATTTAATCCTGTTACAAGCACCAAAGATCAAAGTTGTGCTAAGTATGAAAATGACATTAAAACACTCTTCCTCCCGCCCACCCCCCCATAATGAACAGCAGCAGTAGTGGTCTGTAATAATTGATCATTTATTTAAGTGTGCCAGTAAATGTAACTGTTTACTATCTTTGTAAATACCATTACAAATATGTTTTTCATGCAATATTCTCCTTTTTACTAATTGAGTGTCAAAGTTTAATTCACGATATATTTTTGGGAGGTTTTCATTTTGAAACCCCATATTTCTTCTCTTATGTCATAGTACTTGTATTGTAGGTTAAAAGCAGGTGAAGTATTTTGTACTTAGTAGCCTATTCCTCTACCGGCGATAGTATTTACGATGCTGCTCTGTTCAATACATCCTTTTTCCATGTTATTTATTTTTTTAAAGCATTGAGCTACTTCTTGGAATATAGGCCTTCAGATTAGAGAGGACAGCTCAGTGGCCTGGCAGTGAACCTGTGCTCCAAAGAAATAGATATGTAAAGAGGTAAGTAAGGGGGGGCAGATCTGGGTTATCTATGAGGTCACATCCAAGTCATTTGTATTAAATAACAGCAAAAATAAATGCGTGTTGAGCCTTTCATTTTGTAATGTGTGTGTGATATGCTGTTAGATAAAAGAACAAGATTAATTTGTTCCCCTTGACGTTTTAGGTGGAGTGCCGTATCACACAGTTTGAACCCACATGCAGATCACTCCCTTCACCACGTACAACACAAATAATAATGTTTACATCATGCAAAATGTATTAAAGACTTAATCCGACAAAAATAATCTAAAATTAATCTTAGATGCATAAATCAACAATTATTTTTGATGAATATACATTGAGATGTCTTCATAAAAACTAAATTAATTAAATAATGATCTCAATGAGAAAATAAAGGACAACAATTGTAACTAGTTCATTAGTAAGTGTGATATTTAAAATACATTTTCACTCTATATATATTTAACTGTTATTATTCTTGGTTAATTTTCCACATTTTGTTTTATCATTTAACGAAGTACAACTACTGGTTTTAAGAACAATAAAGGGGTTCTCTGTATTTATGACTTATGTACCGATTTATGTAATACCGATTTATGTAATACCGATTTATGTAATACCGCTCCTCTACATTTTCGGGGAGAATACGTTCCTTTCCAATATATCGTCTGACAGCTAGTTACTTTGCAGATTTTACACAAAACATTTTTAACAGATTAAACTAACAAACTGTACACAACGTTTACCCGTATAATTCCACCATGGTAATCTGCTTAACTCACATATGTATGTATCATTACTAGCAGTATTTGATTGTAATGTAGTTAATTTTACAGACAACTCTTCATTCAAGTACAATTTTGAATGCACAATCACATTTTTACAATGGTGCTCCTTTGACTTCAGAATATGCTTAAACCACTGCTTACACCTTGCTTAGTTACAACGCTATATTAGCTTTATACAGAACATCTTTCTAAAACAGAAGTTGTGTACAATCCTCCACTGCGTTTTAATTAGGGGTGCACCGAATGGGAAATTCTTGGCCGAAACCGATACCGAAAATAGGAAACAGTTGGCCGAAAACCGAATGCCGAAAGGCCGAAAATGATTAATAGAAATATATATATATAATGTATACATTTTTTACCAATGTTGTTCAGCTACCTGATTATGGAAATAGACATGATTATGGCAAAACTTAACTTAAATAATAATCACTATTATGGGTCCATAAAACATTTATTCAGCACTTTTGAATGCATACAGTACATTTATATATGTCATGTATTATTGCTAAAAAACATTATATCGCAGTCTTAGTGTCGCCAACTCGTTTCTAATATGCAAAGACAACAAATGCGTCTATGATGTATTTTCGATCAGACGAGATCTCTCTCCCCCCGTCTGTGTGCGAGGGGGCGGGGCAGTTTACACACACGCAGCTGCTACATGCAGCGGAGCACACTGCGGAGATGGCGGAGAGAACGCGCTCCGAGGTGTGGTTAAACTTTACCCGTCTCGATGTGGAGAATACTTGTTACCATAAGTGCAATAAGAGTTTAGCATGTAAGCACGAGCAATTTGTCTAAACATTTAGCAAAAGTGCACCGCATGCAGACGGAGGAATGTACCGGGTTCGACCGTCTTTCTAGCAGCTCTGTAGCCCCATCCACGAGTAACGTTTCCACGTCAGGTGTTATGTATGCTAGCAGCAACACACGGAGTTAACTACATTATACAAACATGGGTTAATGATTAGAGGTAACTGAGTTATTTAGTTTGTTAAAATTTCAGCTATTCTGTTTACAGTCTGTCATCAGATTATTTAATACGATTTGTTTAAAGCTCGATGACAAAGGTCAATGTCCCCCCCCCCTGTGAGCCAGCCGCGAGCATGGTCGCCGCGTCTTTATTACGTCATCACAACAACACGTTAGGTTACCAACGTAAACCTGTTCTGACATTCGGTGATATTTTTGTAAAAAAAAAAAATGTATACATTATATATATATATTTCTATTAATCATTTTCGGCCTTTCGGCATTCGGTTTTCGGCCAACTGTTTCCTATTTTCGGTATCGGTTTCGGCCAAGAATTTCCCATTCGGTGCACCCCTAGCTAAAACCCTTTCGGCCGAAAGCCGAAAGGGCCTTTTTAACCATTTTCGGGCCGATAATTTTCGGTGGCCGAATATTCGGTGCATCCCTAGTTTTAATACTATAAAAGCATTAAGGTATGAGGTCCCTATATAAAATATATTTAAACAAACTATTTGCATCTTGCAGATATTTCTTATTAAAGTGTGAACAGTTAACATGTTGAAAACTAAATATTTGGTTTCGACTGTAGGCTTACTTACTCTACGAACCAGTAAGTAGGCTAGAGTTTTTGGTCTGATAGAAAATTAGAGTAAAAAAATGTCAAGACAGTGGCTGACATGATGCTTGAAGACTTAACAATTGTCTCTATTCTCGTTTTGCTCGATCTCAGTGCTGCATTTGATACTATCGACCATGATATCCTATTGCAAAGAGCACTTAGTTGGCATAAAGGGAACTGCTTTAGGCTGGTTTAGGTCCTATCTATCTGAACGCTCTCAGTTTGTACGTGTCAACGATGAATCTTCCACGCAAACCAAAGTTAGCCATGGAGTGCCACAGGGCTCAGTGCTCGGACCTATTTTGTTCACATTATATATGCTTCCGTTAGGCAATATTATAAGGAATCATTCTGTAAACTTTCATTGTTATGCGGATGATACTCAACTATATTTATCAATCAAGCCTGATGAAATTAATCATCTAAATAAAATTCAAGACTGCCTCAAGGACTTAAAAACGTGGATGACCTTACATTTTTTTATGTTAAACTCGACCAAAACTTAAGTTATTGTACTTGGCCCGAAGAATCTACGAAACAAATTATCTAAAAATATACTAACTATGGATGGCATTAATTTGGCCTCCAGGGAGACTGTAAGGAATCTTAGTGTTATATTTGATCAGGATTGATCCTTTAACGCCCACATAAAATCAATTTCAAGTACCGACTACTTCCATCTACGTAACATTTCTAAAATCAGGCATATCTATGCCTCAAAACGATGCAGAGAAACTAGTCCATGCATTTGTTACTTCAAGGCTGGATTATTGTAACTCCTTATTATCAGGGTGTACCAAGAAGTCAGTCAAGTCGCTTCAGCTGATTCAAAATGCTGCAGCTCGTGTACTAACCAGAGTTAGGAAAAGGGACCACATTACTCCTGTTCTGGCTGCCTTACACTGGCTCCCTATAGAACACAGGATAGAATTTAAAATTCTTCTTCTTGTCTACAAAGCCCTTAATGGGCAGGCGCCATCTTACCTTAAAGAATTCATTATACCCTACTGTCCTATTAGGGCATTGCGTTCCAAGAATGCAGGGTTGTTGGTTATTCCTAGAGTCTCTAAAAGTACAATGGGAGCCAGAGCCTTTTCTTATCAAGCTCCACATTTGTGGAATCAGCTTCCAGTTTGTGTTCGGGCGGCAGACACCCTACCTCCGTGCCTTACCACAGTATCTGGCACTATATCGGATAGGGCCACCATACTAAATTGTTTTAATGAGCATTTTGTGTCCTGTGGCTCTCTGTTTCATTCTGTTTCTAATTCTGCTTCTGTGTTGTATTTTGTTGGTGGAACGCACTTATTGTAAGTCGCTTTGGATAAAGCGTCAGCTAAATGCAATGTAATGTGAAC